GGTAAGTTAAAAAACTTTTTCACTGCAATCAGAATGTGTCCGGGAACCTAACCAGTCACTCCAGAACTAAAGTATTAGAAATGCAAGTTTGTATTCCTAACACTATAAAGTTCCTTGAAGGTCAAAGTAGACAAAATTGAAGCATAGCTGACAAATTATTTTTTTCAATTTCATTATTTTTACCTTAAATGTGAAATTCACTCTGAATTCTCAAATTTAGTGAATAATCCTGATAATCACTTTTGTGCTGAGGGCTAATTGCAACCCCAGCAGTTACACTGCCAGTCACACTACACGTGACCTATGCAGCCTGGAACTTCATCAATATCAATTCTGTGCAAAACATACGTCTGCCATGAAAACGCACATATGCAGAGTGCACCTGACCTAATAAAAAGGTATGATAAGTTAATAATAGTAGCTGGTAGGTGAAACAACAGATCTCTCAGAATCAATGATAAGCTTACCTACTTATTTATCCTTGTTTATTTTTGGAAGTGTAATGCCACCCAGCATCAGCTTGTGATTGCTCCTGATACTGCTGTCTGCATGCTTGCTCTACAAATTTTCAGAACAGACGTGATGTCAGAAACAGCAGGCTTCACGCTCTGTTGAACAGGAGATCAGTTTCTTACAAAAGACCAGTTATGACTTACAAATCCTCAACATGGAAAAGGAATGAAAAACCTTACATACACTCAAGTATTGACCTCAATAGAATTTAAAAATCACATTCACACAGCCAGCACAATTGTCCTGATTTGTGGCACCCATCTTTTCTTTGTTTTCTCTCTGTCATTCTATTTCTGTAAACACTCAAGAAATGTTCCCAAAGAAGCAAAGCAAGAACTCAAGTACAAACAGTATGAATTTCTAGTTGTCTGTTACTGGGAAAAACCCAAACTTAAACCTAACCCTTTTCCAATTCCACATTCATATCCCATATACTTTGGAGGCATTGAATTATCTATGAAATTTTAGAAAGTATCTAAATAATATATGAGTCAAGAGTTACACTGCGTCTATTTGTTAAATAGTTTTCTGATATGTCATTATAACCACGTAGAACCTCAAGTCCAAATTGGAACAGTCAAAAAACTTGTAAAGTAAGCAAGTCACTGTTTTGGTTAGACCCTGTTAGCATCTCATCTGCATCTCAGTATACACTCAGTTTCCCCCATCTTGTGGCATTTTATGCCATGCCTGTTCACATAGACCACTTATGGTTGGGTTGTAAGTGGAGATGGATGCCATTCTTGTGTTGCAGTGTGACTGGCAATGTGTACACATATACATAAAGCTCTTTCCTTTTGTGTAATTTGCTGCAAAGCCTTCAGAGGGAGCAGGTGTCAATCACTTCTCTTGGTCCAGGGGTCGGCATGTTGTGTGCTACACCTATCATAATGCTGTTACAGCCATGAAGCTGGCAAACCATCAAGGGAGATATAGTTCACAATACCTGGAATGCCTAAGTTTTCCTACCCCTGTCCTGGTCCATTTCACTAGTCTCAGTCTCTCTAGGCATTGTGACAGAATCATGTAACTAATTATTAACACTTGCATTCTCCCTCAAAATCAGATTAATTACTGACTCACCATGATTACTGTACATAGATTTTCTGGTCCGTAGGCCTAGCTGAAGCGTGTCTTCTACCAAATATCTAGCTAGTCTTTGCAATATTGTTCCTGTTTCAAGGCTAAATTGACCTTTAGCTGTCACTTCTTCCCATGCTGATAAGAAGGGGGCTGGAGGTAGTTCCACCATTGCTAGGTGCCAGTTGCGCTGTGTGATACACAGGGAGCAGTGATATGATGTGATTCACATAGCCTGTGGCATGCAGAGAGTGGAAGACTAGGCTGGACAGAGTTGCTAGCACTCGGCCATGTTAAAAGAAGTGAATACAAATACAAAAAACAAGTCCTGAGCTCAAACTTCCATCACTCCTGGGCGGCAGCAATGACCATTGTACACATGAGCCCCAATACATACAGTAAAAACCAAAGAACAAAAGTTACTTGCGCTCTCTCCCAAATCCCTATGTATATTTAAACAAATGGAGGTTACAAATGTAACATAGCATTGTAACATAGCTTTGTATCACACAGCTATGTTACAATGCTGCCGCCCATCCCATGTGTTACCTATTAAGAGTTAAAAAGTATGTAGGGGTGTAAATAAAAAAAAATAAAAAAATACCCCTCTCTGTCTCATTAGAGATATCTTTGCCAGAAGCTCAAGGAAGCAAGGTGAAAGGTTAGTGTAGGCCCCATCTGAGAGGTTTGCCTTGACGTAGCAGGCAGGCATTCCCTCCAATGGCCATTGGAGTAACTAAATAACCTCCATTTGTTTAAATATACAAAGGGATTTGGGAGAGAGCGCAGGTAACTTTTTTTCTTTGATTTTTAATGCTAAAAGAAGTGACCGGGAAAGGAGCGCTAAACAATGTTGAGATTTTGCAGTCTGAAAGGGCCTGGATT